AAGAGTATTAAAACACTAATATGGGAGACCCTAAGCTGTAGGTCAAGAAAAGAAAATATGTCCAAAAGCTTGGAAAGAGAAGTGGTCAATAAATGAAGAATAAATGAAAGGAAGGTCCTTGCCTTTAAGGTCTGAGGGTCACTGGTGACCTTGAAGAGGAAGTGGTGTAGAGTAGGTGCCTTAAGGGCTTGAAAAGGGCTTGAGGGGTGCCTTAAGGAGAAAATGGGAGAACCTGGGATAGTGATGGGTAAAAATTCTTTCTGAGAATGTTGAAAACTGGTGAGTGGGAGAAGAGTGTATATCCTCGGGAGACTGAGCAAAATGTGCTTAGAGATGAAGAAAATCGTCCGGAGTGATAATAGATGACTACTGAGACCACTAGAATTAGAGGTAACTGTACATTTTCTGTTCTCTCAGCCTTCCGTATAACCCTGTACCCTTGGGCATCAGAATGTGTTAATGTTTACCCGTTTTGTTGTGTTTATTATGAGACAATTTCTATGCGTGTTAATAGAAAAATCTGTGCATCTTTGCCTCATTTGTGAAATGTTTAAAAATATTTTTTTAAAAATTTTTTATTTGCTTTACACCCTTGTTGTAGTGCCATCCTTCTTCTTCTCCCAGTTCCACCTTCCCTCACCTCCTCCCCTTTTCCTTAGAAAAGGGGGAGCTCCCTTTCCCATCTAGCCCAGCTCCTCCAGTTGCATGAGAATGTCCTCTTCCTCTGTGACCTGGCAAGGAAGTCCTGCCGGGAGAAAGTGATGAAAAAGACGGCAAGTGAGTCCATGTCCTATGCAGACATCTACTTCCCTTTCTATAGGACCCACATAAAGCCAAAGCTACCTATATGCTACATCTTAGTAGGAGTCGCAGGTCCAGTTCCTGCATGTCCTTGGTTGATGCTTCACTTTCAGCAATCCCCTCTGGGCCCTGGTTAGTTGACTCTGTTGGTCTTCTTGTGAAGCTCCTGTCACCTCCAGATTATTTTCTCTTTCCTTCTACTTATCCACAAGATGCCCTACATATCACCCAATGTTTGGCTGTGAGTCTCAGCATCTGTTTTGAGGCAGTTCTGGGTAGAGTCTCTCAGAGGACAACTCCCACAGGCTCCTGCTGCAAGCTTTGCAGAGTATTGTTCATAGTGTTAGGGGTTGGCACTCTCCCACAGGGTGGGTCTTTGGTTGGGCATTCCGTTAGTTTCTGCTACATCTGCTCTATGCCTTTAGCCCCAGCACTTGGGAGGCAGAGGCAGGTGGATCTCTATGAGTTAAAGGCCAGCCTGGTCTACAGAGTGAGTTCCAGGACAGACAGGGGTACACAAAGAAACCCTGTCTTGAAAAAACAAAAACAACAACAAAATAATAATTTTTAATTTTTCACTAATATTTTTTATTTTGTTTTTTGTTTTTTCAAGTGGCACTTTCTACTCAAAATAGGTTTCAGTAGAAGAAATGCAGAGTCAAAGTAGGGAAACATGGCATCTTAATGATAAAGACTTTTCAAGGTTAAACATTATTATAACAGCCCCTATTTATAAATCAGACACTGAAGCCTAAAGAAATAAATGATTTTCCAAGGGTAGGTGACTCAGTGACTGGAGAACACACAGCTCCCAGTTCTGAATGTGATGTTCTTTTTGGTGCACTCAAAACATAATTAATAGGCTGAAACTGGCCCCTGTGCCTACAAAGAAAATTGCAGGCAGACCTTCATTAGTAAGGGTTTGAGCTAATTTGTTTACTTTCAAGTCAGAGAGAGCATATTTCTTTTTAACCCACTGTTAGACTGCAAATAATCTCTCTAATTCTGAAGGTTATTGCTCCATTTTAATATTGATTTCCTTTTTGGTGCAGACTTTTATCATGTTATGGAGTCCTGTTTGTTCTAATCTTCTTTGTCTCCTGTGCTTATAGGTACTTACTCATGAAAAGGTCTTCTCATCCCAACGTTCTGGATTCTTTCTCTTTGTTTTTTTTTCTAGAACCTTCATGGTTTCAGGTCACAGATTTAAGCTTTGATCCACTTCAGGTTGGTTTTTCTAAGAGATGAGAGATAGTAGCCTACTTTCTTTCTTTCGTATGTAAATGGCCCATTTTCTTGCCACTATTTACTGAAATAAATGACTTTTGCCTAGCCTGTGTTCCTGTAACCTTGGCTGTGCATGCCTGTATTTGCTTATAGAATCTCTCTTTAGTGTCATTCATTGTTCTTGTTCTCTGCTTTATGCTGATCCCATACTGTTATGAGTAGATTATATTAAATTGCAGAATATTTTTAAATCAAGTAGTATTTGACCCCCTGTTTTGTTCTTCTTGTTAAGCTAGCCTTGTTTTTTCTAATATTTTACAGTTCTGTATGAATTTTAGAATTATTTTTCTATTTTCTGTGAAAAGTATCATTGGCGCGTAGATGAATTTCTTCAAAACTTTAGATTATTTTGGATACTGTGGATGGCCCATGTTAAGCTAAATGGGTCACAAGTTAAAATGTAAAGACCTGAGTCTGGGAAAGGGACAAGTGGAGATAGAGAGGGTTTTATGGTGGTCAGAGGAAGAAAGCATAGAGTTGGAAGAAAATAACCAGAATATTTTATATACATGTATGAGAACTATTAGAGAACAAATTTAATCAATAAGAAATCACTGCATATTTTATTAATTATCTGGTAGAGAAAGAGAGACAAATATAACAAGAGGTTCTTCAATAGCGTGTCAGAGAGGAGAAACAATGAGAGACCCTAGAGCTCAGAGAGAGAAGACAACAAAACAGGATGCTCAAAGTTGATCCCCAAGATAGGACTCTGAGAAGATGCTTATTTACTACACTATTTAGCTTCTTAATGATTAATTACTAAGATGAGTATAGCTTACTTTAAACATTTCTATCTTAATCTTTCAATTATATGTAGCTGTGTGGGGGTGGGGGTGGGGGTGTCTGTGCACGCGAGTATTGTGGTCATGGAGGCCAGAAGAAGACATCTGAGGCTGAAGTTATAGGCAGCTGTGAGCCATTCAGTTTGGGTGCTGGGAACCAAACTCAGATCCTCTACAAAAGAAATACGCACTTTTAACCACTGTGCCATCTATTCAGGCTCCAACAGTCTTCTGGTACATTTACACAATGGAATACTATTCAGCTATTAAAAACAAGGATATCATGAAATTCGCAGGTAAATGGATGGAGCTAGAAAAGATCATCCTGAGTGAGGCATCCCAGAAGCAGAGAGGCATCCATGGTATGTATTCATTTATAAGTGGGTATTAGCCATATTATATAGGGAAAACATACTAAAATCTACAGGCCTAAAGAAGCCACAACAAGGAGTAGCCTAGGAAAGATGCTCATTCAGAAGGGAAAACAGGATAGACACTGGAAATGGTAGAAGAGAGGAAAAAGGACTGGAGCCTGCCACAGATGTCCTCTAAAAGACTCCAACCAGCAGGGGATTGAACCAGACACAGATACTTTGGACAGAGTGCAGGGAGTGTTATGGAAGAACAGGGATATAAAAGGAACCGGAGGAGACAGGAGCCACACGAGGAAACAAACAAAGCCACACACACACACACACACACACACACACACACACACAAACACAAAAAAAGCAGGGCCCAGGGAGGACTGCAGAGATTGATGCATCAACCAAAGACCATATATAAAGAGGACTTAGACACCCTGCTCAGATGTAGCTCATAAACAGCTTAGTCTCCATTTGAGTTCCCTCGTAAGAGGAGAAGAGACAGTCTCAGGTGTGAACTTGGTTGCCTGCTCCTTGATCACTTCTTCCTGGTGGGGCGACCCAGACAGCCCACAGAGGAAGAGGATTCAGGCAGTCCTAATGGGACCTGATAGGCTAGGGTCAGACATTAGGGAAGAAGGACTTCCCCTATTAGTGGACTAGAGAAGAGGGATAGAGGAGGAAGAGAGAGGGAGGGTAGGACAGATAGGAGATGAGTGAGGGGGCTACAACAGGAATACAGAGTGAATAAATTGTAAATAATAATAATAAATTTTTCTGAAAAAAATGTGAGGGTCTATGAAGAAACTATGAGGACACCAAATTGGAAGGGTCAGAGTAGATGTCCAGCTTTCACATTTGAGAAATCAGACATTCAAGTGAAGAATGTTTTTTCTAAGGATTTTAAATTCAGATGTCAGTTTAGACAGATAAATGAAAGAGAGGAAAACTATACAAGGAAGTTGAGATATGTTTGGGAGGAAGCTAAACTGAAAAGAGGATGGAAAAAAAAACCGACAATGACTAAAATACCAATCAGAAAGAATAGAACTTTCTGGGAATATAATGAGTTTGCTTAAATCAAAAGAACTTGAACAGCAGGAGAATATTAGAGAGATGCTGTGTACTGGAAGAGGGGACAGGATCCCAAATGCAAACAAAGGGGATGCATTGATATTTTAAGATAACGCAAATGTATAAAAAGGCTTTATCAATTGACCCTTTCAAGATCTGTCAGTGCTTTGTTTTCAGTGTTAGTTTGGAAAGAGTGTCATAAAGCTACTTATTTCTTTCTTTAATATGTCTTTTATTTTAATCAATATATAATTTGTATCATGCATACATTTTTTAAACATTTTTCTGCCTTTTTTCCCAGTGTTCCCAAGTGCTTTTCATATGTGGTCCTCTACTTCACCTACTTCAACCAAAGAGTATACAAATAGACCTCAATGATTTTTTTTCCCAACAACACTCCTAATTTTTTCAACTCAGAAGTTCTAATACATCTATAATCATATTAGACACGAAGTAGAGTCCTTGCCAAGTCCACTTCCACCCCCACTCTCTCTACTGTTGTCTTTAATTAGTACATGATGTCCATCCCTGGGTTTTAGCCTCAAGCCCCAAATGAGTTGTGTAACTGGGTCTAAGCGTGTTTCACTTGTTGGATCAAAACTGCCTGTCTACCTACCTGGTTGGGCATCCTTGCAGTGGAAGCAAGAACAAGGAGGAGGGCACAGCTTTTCTCAGATAGCCATTCACAATGTTTCCCACAGGTATATTTTGGATGACTGTACTTATTTCTCAGATTCAAGGTATGTGTTTTTTTCTCTGTAATGTTTATTTATTACACCCAACACCTTCTTTCTTTAGCACCAATATTTAAACTGCAAGTTATAAAACTCTACCTGCATTGGTGGCTTGCTTGAGGATATCCTGTTGGGCTTAGATTGTGTTACAGTTGATCTTGGGATCTAATGAGTCTGTGAAAACCCGTCATCACCCTTTAACAATCATGAGAAAGAGAAAGGAATGGACACTTACAAAAAAACTGTAGAAGAATAGACACTGTGCTAGCCCTTAGCTACTTTGTATGTCGGAAGATTTAAAATCCTATACTATTACCCCTTTTAGTGCTAAAGAATATGAAAATACCGTTTGCAGATCAGAGAGATTAGATGTGACGATACCAGTGGTCACACAGTTCATAAACTTGTGATGCTTTGATTCATATCTGAGTAGTTCTAAAAGTCCATATTATTCTATCTTTATGGCTATATACGGTCCAGAAGAAACTGACACCTGACTGCCAGTGTGATGGAACATGATAAAAAAAAATGTTTCGCATTGACATGGGGCCCCCAAGATTAGCTGGGCAGGGGAAGCTTTGAACTCTACCTGTGGGATTTAAGGCTTCTAATGCAAATTCACTGAGGAAATAAAAACAAGAGTTATTTAATGTTGAAATAGGTCATTTCTGTACAGACTTTGGCAGGAGGCAGCATCTGGAGAGAGATGTGGAGAACAAAAATGACAAAGGTGTGAATTCAGAGCAAGGTGAAAAATAGCTCAAGGACTCTTTGCCTTTGACTGCCTCCCTCCTTGTGTCTTTCTAATCTGTAAATAGCCATCTCAACTTTCTCACATTACAAGCTAAGGACGATGTGAGTGCATGGCTAGAAATTGGAAACACACGAACTACTGCAGCAAAAATCCATTTGTCACTCACTAGAGGGTGGATTATAATAACACATGGATTTTCCCTTTATGCTTTCTTATAGAAAAGGTGATTGTTGGGACAGAGGGCCAAGAACTGGTTTATCCTAAAAAGCTTCCCCTGATACGGAAACGGGATCTTGAACACATCCATGACTCTGACATACCGGTATACATTTTGACCTAATAAATATGACTTAATGGTTTTACACAAATGTGCAGAAAACTTCCCCTGGCTCCAAGCAGGAGTAAATGTGAAGAAAATACGGTTTTCAGTTTCTGTAGCAGACCGCTCACTTGGCTTACAACATATGCTTTAGGGTAACTGACCCTCAGTGGGTTAACAAACCAAAGAGCTCAAGCTTTGGGGTACCTACTTTTTCAGTTTCAGTGAGGAGTTTCCCTGAATCTTTGTACCATCAATTTTTCTGAGCCGGTAACCAGGAACACAATCTCTAGCCTTTATTTTGCTTTTGCAGATTTTCAGTACACAGGCTTACTTGCTTTACAGATTCTGCCGTGCAATGGGGCAACTTTCATGGGAACAAAAAGTGCTTGGCTTTACAAGGGTTTTCATTTAAGTGTTAACATTTGAAAATACCTAAAATATTATTTCTAAACGAATATTTACTAAAGAAGATATACAATATATACATAAGATTTAACATCATACTTTATTCAGCTTCCAAGATTATAAAGATTTTTAGATGGGGGTCCTTAGATAGTTATAATTAGAAATTTGCATTTTATAGCCTAGGATTTTAACTTGGGCTCACAGAAGGCTTACAGGCCTTCTGCCCTGACAAGAACAAAATACAAATCTCTTCTGGTGCCATGACTTTCCTTCCCTTTCCCACAATGACAGCTAGTTTTCCATGCTCTTTCTTGTTAGATTTCTCCGTCATTAAAAAGCTGCATGTCAGCTTCTCACATAGTCTCCCAGCTTGATGCAACAGAGGCAGCTCTCTGCTCTCTTCCTTCTGAGGGCAATGCTGTGCTATTTTTCTCTAATAAGGTTCTTTGTAAATATTATTTTGATCTTCAGTTCTTCCTGCATTTTCTCAAACCTTCATGTAGTTAAAAGGTTGGCTACCTAGCCAAGCAGGGAACCAGCTTCCTACCATCCACTGTGTGGAGACTTGTCTTAAAAACAGTCAAATTTTATATCAGGAGCTCTATTGTGATTGAGTGAGATTAGGTTGGGCCAGGGAGACCTACACAGGATGAACCTAGAGCTGAGAAGCGCTCCATCTGCAACAAAAGACTGCCCCTCCTGACTTTAAATTCCTATTAGGGGGACATATCAATAGACAACTTTAAAAGCCTCCAAGAGAAAATATGGGATAATACAAATAATAAGATAAATGATGAGATTTTTGCTGCAATATAAATTATCCAACAGGATCCATGAGGCTTTGCTGATGCAAGTAAATAAAAGAATAAATGAACATATATGAGAGGATAGCTCAGTGTTTTTTTTTTCTTACAGAAGAATTGATTATTTCTATCCATCCTCTCCTCTTCAGAAGGTATAGAGTATGTCCCTTAACCATGGGCTTCTTACTATAATTTCATTCCAAAGAGTGAAGCATAGGGCAAAATAAAGAGTCACTTTTCAGAGAAAATTGTGATTCAATAAAATGTCTGCCAGGTGACCAACATCAGCATCACCCATAAGAGGTCATGTTGACAGTATAGACTCTTGCAGTAACACAATGGTACTGTCTTTATTGGTTTTTATTGGGAAAACCATAACTGTATCTAGTCTTAAGAAAATCATTCAAAACCCAAGAGACATCCTATAGGACATCTGAAGAGTACAAGGCAAAAATGGCAAATCCTTCAAAATAAAGAGAATCCAGGAAATTTATGGGCTTGAGAGGATGGCATCAGGGTTAGGATTGTGCAAGAATAAGAAGATAGCTAGTAAAATTTAGAGAATAAAAATAAAGAGACTTCAATGATAACCCAATATTGGTTAATGAGTTGTAAAAACATATTATAACTATGTATTATGTTGATAATAGAAAGCTTAGTTGGAAACTTACCAATATCTTCTCAAATAGTTTTAAAACCTACTCTATTGATCTAATTATCACTGTGCCTGAAGTAACAGCTTTGTCAAACAAATGAATAATTCACTTAAAAAGTAGGCAGAGCATATGAATAACTATGATGCAGGATTATAAAGAATTCTCATAAAGTATAAAAACCAAATGGGATGAATCAGAAGTTCAGCAAAATAGTAATAACTGAAAGAGCTGTACAACTATGCCAAAGAGAAAGCTAAAATTTCATAATCCATCACTGAAAGCATCTACAATTGATAAGCCAACCTGTCAGGACTAAATACTACTGTCAGGATATCCAACACGAGTTGACACTGATTTTGTTGGTAAAATTTTAAGTCTATATTCCTTCGATTCATACCATCTTGCCAGTATGCATCAGTGTATCAAAACCTTACTTATTTCATCCATCTTGTGGACAGCGGCTCTAGAGACAATGAGCATCCAAACTAAATTTCAGATAATCAATACAGATTAAGTAAATTAAAATATTTTCACAATATGTGTGACAAATATAAAACACCTTCTAGATGAGACTATTTATAATAGGAAGTGGTAATGATGTGTGAAGGAGAGAGGAAGAATATGGAGTATATATACAAAATTTTTAAACACAAAAAGGGAAAAATCTGAGGGTTTGACTATAAAGTTACTTGTACGTTCCTGAATGTTAAAATCATGTTATTTCATTAGTAGAAATATATGTTTTTAACAGAGATATAATTGGTAAAAATCATCCTTATAATGCTGTATGCAGTGAGATGTAAGTGGGTCATAGCCTCATGAGCCAGCCCCTTACCCTAAGTAGATGTGGAATTCATAAACAGGATCTTGTTTTTCAGGAGGCATATGAAGAAGAATTGTTGTATGAAATAAAATTGGGCAAAAAAACTTTAATCCTTCACCTTCTGAAAGCAAGGTAAGGTGTTTTGTTTTGGTTTTTATTTGTTTAAACAGCATCTCCTGTAGCCCGAACTATTCTCAAATTCACTATGTAGAAGAGGATGACTTTGAACTCCTTATCCTTCTGCCTCTGGCTCTCTAGTGCTAGGATTACTGGAGTTCATCACCATGCTCAGCTTAGATCAAGGTAAGTTCTATTGTAGCCACATATGTTATAGAGTTGGGTGTATATGATCTTCCCATTTTTTTTATTTTTTTTATTTTTTTATTTTTTTTAATTTTATTTTTCTTTTTAGTTACATTTTGTTAACTCTGTGTCCCAGCTGTATCCCGCTCCTTCATTCCCTCCCCAACCCCACACTCCCTCCCTGGTCTCCTCCCTGCCCCTTTCCAAGTCCACTGATAGGGGAGGACCTCCTCCCCTTTCATTTGACCCTGTTTTATCAGATATCTTCAGGGCTGGCTGCAAAGTCCTCCTCTGTGGCCTAACAGACTGCTCCTCCCCTGGGGGGGGGGTGTCAAACAGCCTGCCCTTGAGATCCTGTTAGAAATAGTCCTTGTTCCCCTTACTTTGGAATACTACTTGGTTATTGAGCTACCACGGGCCACATCCGAGCAGAAGTTCTAGGTTATATCCATAGATGGTCCTTGGTTGAGTGTCAGTCTCAGAAAAGACCCTGTGCCAGGATATATTTGGTCCTTGTAGAGCTAATAATGTGAACTCCTCAAGTCTTCATGATTTTGTCCTCTTCAAGTATAAATCCATCACATTTCAGTAGCAAAAAGACTATAGATTCTGTTCTTTGGTTACTAATTTACTCTTCCTATTTTGCTTCTTGGGAGCATTTGAGAACCATCTATTCTCTCTGAGAAGAATATTAGTACATTGATACTTATTTGAGTTCGTGTTAATTCTAAGTATAAGGAAAGCTAATATTCAAAGAGAAATTTCTGCATATCTTTCTTCAATGCTGTTTCTCATTTTTCTCAATATCCATATGGAATGTGTACAATTAAAACAAAAACATGTTCAAGGTCATGATGCATTTCTGTGTACGCTTAGGTTCATCTTGTCAATTGACGACACCACCTGAATAAATTTTTGTTCTTTATTGAATCTATAAATCAATTTGGAAATATCTGGCTGGCAAGTCAATAGGTTTCATATTATGACTACATTTACTTACTACCAAAATTATGTCATGGAGTTACTTCATCACATTAAGAAAGTTCACTGAGAAGTGTTTTGGGATTTGTTTTTGTCTTACCACAAGTGGATCAGTGTGTCAAAGATCTGAAGACGGATGGAAGGAGTCACATTTATAAACACTAGGGCCATATCTGAATCATGTATTCTCTGAAGCAGTTACAGGATGATTTACATTTGTGGATTTAAACTTTGGATTATCCTTGTGTGTCTAGGCGAGTGTACTAGTTGTACTTTATAAATTGTTTTACGGAATTCTTTGAAACACTGCTTTGCTAGAGTTGTCATAATCTTTTCTGACTTTTCTGTAGCATGTATAATAGTATGAGATTCGGGTTTTCTATTTTTTTTAAACATGAGAGGACTGCTGAGATTTAGGACCTCTTCAAGGCTGCTCAACCATATAATTGTGTGTGTGTGTGTGTGTGTGTGTGTTTGGGGGTGTTTAGAGTTAATAATCTCATTACTTCTCCTCTCTTTCAGGGAATTCTTCACCTCAAATTACAGTGAGACATACTACAATGCAAAGGGAGAGATGATCACCAAGCATCCTCAGATCTTGGTATCTTACAAAACCTTATGTTGGATCTACTCTGAAACTTTTATTTCCTGATAAGATTTTAAGTAGCAAACACTAGATTCACAAACTGTTTCAAAACTTCTTTAAAAAAAACTAGCTCTGAGTTGACTACTCTTAATAATTGTGGTAGAATGGCAAACAGGACCCTTTGAACCCTAAAACAGGCTGATCACTTCTTAGGACGCTGATCAAAGATTTTCTCTCTCTCTCTCTCTCTCTCTCTCTCTCTCTCCCTCTCTCTCTCTCTCCTCGGCTGGTTTCTTTATATTCATGATGGTGGTGAGTGAAGGAAGAGTGAATTAGGAGCCAATATTACATCTCAAGGAAGTTGTAATTAAATAAAATGGATAAAATCTAAATACATGAACCAAGATCTACAGTGAATGGGCTCTTATGTGGGTCTGTGACCCCTCTCCAGCCCTTCTGATACACTAACATTAAGGGTTTCTTCTTCATTCTCCAGAGCAAGCTTTGCATAAATCATTACTATTATTCCAGAGGCATAGAATCTTTTTTTTTCCTTCATCACCTTTGTAGAACTTGCTTTCTACAGTCTTTAAATAAGAGAATTCCTTCTCACCAAAAGCATTATTTGAAATTCTACTCCCTCTATATAAAGCAGCTTTAAACTTTTTAAAAAATATCTAAGTCACCATGTGGTCTTAAAATAAAGGAGTAGAGAAATGCAGAGTCCAAGTGTGAAGGGCATGAGGGGATGGAGAACAAGATCTAATTCTAGAAACATCAAAAGCTTGCCTTGGTTTACTAGGTACCTGGGGAAATGACAATAATTTTTCAAGGTTAAAGGATGGGTAGAGGAGCCATATTTATGCTAAAAGGGTCATATATGAAACTGGTCTTATCACCTAATAGACAAACTTACAAGGGAAGAATTTATATATGGGTTTACACAAAGTAGTCATTTCAAATGTCTTAAATGAGTGTCACAAATAAATTAATGGCAAATGTCACTTATGAAATACTGATTCATTCTCAACAGAAATTAATTAACTATCAGTATTTATAGAATCTTGATATTTTCACCTGCCTTAAAACTCTTCTGTTTTAGGATCACTGTTTTTACCAAGGGTCCATCATACATGAATTTGATTCTGCTGCCAGCATCAGCACTTGTAACGGTCTGAGGTAAGGCAGATCAGCTTCCTACTTCATTTCCTGTAGATTTTAATGATAACCATTTGACTACTGATTTCTTCTCACAAATGCTAGCACAGATAAAAGTTAGTGGGAAGGGGACTCTGTGTGTTTCCAGTGGTGAATGTGGTTTATGCTCATGTTCAACAATAAGAAACCTAAAAGACAGCCCTCTAGAAAGTGAGTCTTCAGCACAGAATGGAAGAATTTCAGAGCTGGAAGATTCCTGGACACTGGCTAGCATGTACACTCATGTTAGAAGTTGGGATGCTGAAATTACACAATTGCTCAAGAACACCGAAGTTGCAAGTATTGGACTGATTCAGCAGCACAGGTCTCCTGACTCTGAGGTCTGTGGATTCCTCTGATGCTACTGTTCCAGCCATTTTTTTTTAAACTGTGTAGCCCAGGCTGAACTCGAACTCGTGATCCTCCTGCCTCTGCCTCCTTCAGCAAATCCTACCGGTGTGCGCCACCACAACCGGCTGTTCCAGCCATTTTATGGCAGGCCCACTCTGGTTTCGAAAATATAGTCAGAAATAAAGGTCATAATTTTTCTGTAAGTCTTATTATACGTGAATAAAAAAAATGGAAGATGTGAGGAAAGACGGAAAGTAGAAGAAAGAAAAAACTTGCTTGCATTTGTCTTGACTTTCCTTGAGTAACTCCCAGAATTTTCATGAGTGAAAACCTCTTTTATGACAAAAGTACCTGACTATATGATTTGTACCTTTAGATACTTATTCTAAAGTTAGTTCATGAAGAGTTTATCAAACCTGTGCAAAAATTTTGAGGCAACCAGGGAGAAAACTGTTTTTCTGCCTATGCTCCAAGCAGAAATCATGCTGACAGGCTTCTGAAGACAAAGGTTAAATTGACTCTTAGAAAGTGGTACTAATTCAGTCAAAGGCCACATGCCAGGTCACTTGTTTGCTACACAAATCACCCAGCTACAAGCTCAGGAGGTCTTGACCCCAGTAGTTTCCCTTCTTGAAAAGGCTAATGTTAATAAAACAGAGTGGGATAACTACAGATGTGAATAATGTCATGTTGCCATTTCCGCAGGGGCTTTTTCAGGGTGAATGACCAACGGTTTCTCATTGAGCCAGTGAAATACTCCGACGAGGGAGAACATTTGGTGTTCAAGTACAATGCCAAGGCACCCTATGCTACTGGTTACTTCTGTTCGGGGCTCAATTTGACTAAGGAGTCTGTACTGATAGATGCTAAGTATAAAGAAGAGCACAAAGTGGAAGTGAGTGTTCTAAATTCTCTTTACCTTGCAGCAGGGGAGGGGGACTCTTCTGGTTTCCTTTATGATCTCTCAAGAAAAAGCCTATGCACACAGCTAGTGACATGTGGGTCCTACTCTGAATTGGAAACTCATCGGACAAAAGCTGAACTTCAGACTTTGTTATGTCTCTGTAGAAAATATTTATTCTCTTCAGTAAACCTCAATTTGTTCCATCAGTTTTAATAAAGGGAAAGCCTCCCAATCCTCCATATAGAATAACAACACTAAGGCTGCAAGCAACTGGAAAAGGGAAATTTGCTCTCTGCTGAATCCTATGTTAGATGTTGGCTTTCCTTGTCTTCTTTACTGCTTTGGGGGAAAGTTGTTGGTTACAGAAGAAGCTCACCTCTCACATCAGAACCAGCACTATGATAAAAGACAACCAAGGATGATAGCAGCTTCAGTTTCTGGTGGTATGCTTGTGAGATCATCAATGACTTTAGGCTTCCACCGAACCAGGTGTTATCTCCTTGACTTTCCCCTAGATGTTAGCTGGAAGGCTGCAGGCTTGTTTTGCTTCTTATGCTCATGGTCTAGGCAGTGGGTGCCAACAACATTCTATGCCTCACAGGTATTTCTTGGATGTGTAACTCAATGAATAAATAATGACATAGTTCAGCAAAGAATGACTTAGTTAAATCTTTGAAGAGTGTCTCTGGGCACTGTTCAGAAAATGCATTTGCCCCAGAGAGCTAAAAACTCAGAAGAGTGTCCTGGTGCTTGTATTTCCTATAAAGAAAAGGCCTATAGCAGCACTTATAGATGTCCTTGGAACTGAGAATAGGAGGCACTGGAGAGAAGTAGAGGGAATGGGGCATTCTTGGCAGTTATTTCTCTGACACACATGTTTGTATACATATACATATGACTGTATGTATAGATATTAATATAAAAACATCTGAGCAAGTAGCACATGAGCTTAATTACAAGCTGTTTTGTCTGTAAATGAAAAAAAACCCAAAATAGAAAAATACCTAATTTGTAATAATTTATAACTCTTATTTGGAGCTGGACGTTTAAACAAAAAAAAAGCAATACAGTCAAATATGGAATGCTGCTCAGGATTATGAAAATGTAATGTCCAGATGTTTTAATAATATAAGTTGATATACATATCAGATACATTCATTTTACTTCACCTTTAAACATAGTAGTATGAACATTTCTTATCAGGAAAATGTTGGGGGGAGTTCTATTAAATTAGTATGAGGTTCAGTTGAACTTTCTGTACATTTTCAGGGCTTCCACAAAGAAAAGTTTATTGAGCTGTTCATTGTTGCCGATGAATATGTGGTAAGTTCTCAGATGGACATCATACTCCTTATTACTATGTAAAACTACAGTTGTTGCTCTCGTTTAGAAAGAAAGAAATTCCAGGAGTTTCCTTTCTGGATTCACACTCCTGCTTTTAGCTCCTCAAAACAGATGCATACAAGAAACTCTTTAGTCTCTTCTTAGTCTAACAGATTAATCTAAAATGGAACCTCCCTTCCTACTATGACTAATGTAAATTTTGAATCATTTATGAAAGCTTGAATACAAATAAACAATCTGGAATTAAACTCAACAGAAGGCATTGAAGATTTCTAAATGCTAAAAATTTAAGGAGAAAAATCTTCATCAGAATGAGAAGTAAAATTTAGAGGTTGTGTTACCTGTAGTTAGAGCATACAGGAAGACAGAATTAATTATCCATTCTAACAAAAGAATGGATAATTCTTCTCAGTGCTGCCTCTACTCATGAGCTCCACAAAGATCCCAGAAGATAGAGAGAACTTCCTGTAGCCAGAGCAGGGAAAACAGCAATCATGGGAAGACAGACCCCAGGCTCGTGTTGTGCTCCACAACAGACATGCCAGCACAAATATTCAGTTACTGGTGTGCTAAGCAAAACTTTCAAAATAAAGAACTGCTTGGAGATCTGGTAAACAAGCTAGAACCCAAGTAGAAATTTCCCAACAAAACCATCTCAACACGCTAGATAAAAACAGACCTCATGAGGCAGCCAACCAATGTAATAGAAGATGGGTTAGGTCTCCAAGAACTGTCAATCAGCCAATGATACTTCAGTTACACTATATAAGAGATGCATAAATTTAAAGTCATTGAAAATAAGAAAATGAATAAAGTAAAATGAATAGAATGGTAAAAGAGAGACTACATAAAGTGATAGGTTTCTGGGAAAACTCCCATAACATTTGTAAAAGAAAAAAGTGTTTATCTTCAAGTGAATTAAACAGACATTAAACACACATTAAGAGAGAATATGTGAATCAGAGAATGAAGCATGGAAATCAGAGAAGTAAAGAATGCAAGCTATGAATGAGGCAATGGACATTTAAAAACTGGATGAACAAGCATGCAGGTAACCAGATGTATTTGATAGTATTTGAGAAGCAATCCTAAAGAGTCTTCCAGAAATAAAGAGCTATTAAATCAGATAGCAATATAAGAAAAATTCAGAACAGTAAAGATAAGGAGGGAATATATTTTTCAAATCAGTTGAAGAAAAGACCTAGGTTAACTGTCTAATTTATATCTCATTTGCTATAAGCCATAGAAAATTAGGATACTACATTTAAAATATCAGTAAAAAATATTGTTATGCTCAAATTTGGCACAAAATATCTGGCAGTGACAGTTAAAGGATTGTGGGAAAGAAATCATACTTATGTACATGTGGTACAACAGACCTAACGACTTCAAGTGAAAAGAAAGACCCTTGTGTATGAGTGTTGGGTAACAGCAAACACTGAGTAAAAGTTTGGGAGTAAAGGTACAAGGCTCATACCCGTCAATGTCCTCTATTCTCCTTGGGTTGCAAACTTTAACTTCATGGTTTCCCAGACAGCCTCAGGCTTTCTCTCTACAAAGTATTTTAGACATCTCCCCTACCTCAACTGAGAATTAGGAATCATGTTTCCTCTCTAGAATTTAAAGGTATTGCGGGAAAAAAGGAAACAGTAGTAGATGGTAGTAGAAATCAAGATGTAAAGAAACGCCTTGAAAGAGAAACTGGTCAGTACATATGGACCAGGTGCCCAGAAAGATGAAAAGCAAGTGTTCAGTTCAGTGAAGAGGAAGACACTTGTGGACTATAGAAAAGAATTCCAGAGACTTCCAGAAGGGCATTCTTGGCACAGAGTTTTAGAATGAACAAAACATGAGCATGTGTGTGCTGGCACAGAGGATTATTCCCTATTGTTCAACACATTTCAGTAATGACTAGTATAAGAAACGCAGTTATAAGAACAGAATCTAAGTCAGAGCAGTCAAGTCTAGTTGGCCTTCTGAGCTCCCACCAGGAGGGAAGGGATGGCCACTTTCCTGTCCCCCTGTAGTTCATAGGGTCTGCGTTGACTGTGTATCTTTTTTTGATTTGTTACCTCCAGGTAGTCAGGGATCATGAGGAGTAAACTTGCTGATGCTAGCAATAGGATGACTGCAGTATAACTTTAACAGTGGCCTGGGAATAGAAATGAGCTCTGAAGAATACTAAGCAGTTGCTTACAAAAACAAATAAATGTAATGTATTATAATTTGAAAAGGAGATAACCAAAACCAAAATTCAAAAGAAAACCTTAAAGCAGTGCTAAGCCAGAGCACAGCTTCAGGGACCATTGTGTCTAGTTATTTTCTAGAAACTACCATGTCTTCATAATTTGTTTAGATTTTAGCTAACTGGAAAGAGAATTCTCTTCCATTGCTGTCTATTTGTGGTGGGTTTTTGTTTGTTTGTTTGTTTTGTTGTTTGTTTGGTTTTGTTTTGTTTTCTACAATATCTCATAGTAAGTGAAGTTTTTGCTGGACTTTTTTTTTCAATGTTAATAAATAACAAATGCCATAATTATGCTTTCAGTACCGCAGGAACGGTAAACCCCAAAACAAGCTAAGAAAAAGAATTTGGGGAATGGTCAATTTTGTCAACATGGTAAGTTTGGATATAATTTGAATTATATTTATATATTATATTTATATTTTCAACCTGAAAATATAAATGGATGAAAAGGTCTTTGAAAGAACCGTAATAATAGCTGTGACATTGAAATAGCACCAACTGCAGACCTATCAGGTCAACTAGTTAGTAAAAATGTCTTCAAAACAATCACAGCAACAAACCACAGTACCGAAGTTTTGGTTTGCTAAGTAAATTACACTTAATTTCTAAGTAAATTTCAAACCAGCATCTTCTTTTGTGTCTCCATGATTGATGAATAGACCTAGAATGTGTTAGTAATTCAGCAAAAGAAGATGTGTACTACATTAGAACCAGGGAAGCGTCTCACTAACTACACACACACACACACACACACACACACACACACACACACAAACAGCACCACACCACACCACACCACAAAAATAATAAGTAATAACAATTTAAAAACCTCTGATCACGCAAAAATTAAGAAACAATGCATGGACAATTGGAGAACCAAGTAAGTAAGTATTAGACCACACTATTTCAAAATCAGTGTTCTGTCCCTATGTATAACAAAAAAAAAAAAATGATGCTGTCATTTATTGTCTATGCTTTGTCATTGAAGTCAGAGACAACTTTACTATAATCTATTAAGACTGTTAGCGTATCTAAGCATTCATGAATAAGAACCGTTACTACGACAAATTCTGGGTGGTCACATCTTCCCTTGCTGAACCACTCTAACACATCCTTGCTCCATGAGTTGAGTAAGAAGATGCAGAGGAAGATGCTGGGAGGAGTGGCCCTTCTAGATTAGTGGCAGTGCACGGGTTCATTCAACGGCTGAAAGACATTTTGCTAATTGCATTTTTGCTAACTGCTTTAAACAACTGTGCATACTCATTTGTTTTATATAAATAATTAAGAAGTTGGAATGCTAGGTCATACAGAATGTGCATATTATTTTAGCTCTTTGCCACAGTGTTAGATCTCGTTTTTTTTTTTTTTTTCTTCATTCTTTCAGTGCTTTGTATTTCAATTTGGATAATTCCTGTTGAGCCAGCAGGATTCTTGCCCTGATTATTTGTAGCCTTCTAATGTGCTCATGAAAGGCTATAATTTTTATAGTATTTTCATTCATACTTATTGTTTCCATCTCTATGCTGAAATTATGATCTTTTCAAACATAGTTTTACCATATTAGTTTCTTTATTGGAGTTCATGAAAATTCCCCCAGTGTTCTATATAATACTCTGCATTATTGCTAAGAATATCAATTTATAAAACAAGAAGTGTGCTAGGTATGCGTTACATAACAAGTTTGAATGGCTTCTTTTTCAATATAAGGGAATACAAGTAATAATGAAAGAACCTTCTAACAATTTGATTTTGTGAAAATTATTGCTTCTTCGAACAGATTTTTAAAACCTTGAATATTCACGTGACATTGGCTGGCCTTGAAATATGGTCAGCTAGAGACCAGATAGAAATAGTGTCAAGTCTAGAAACTACCTTATTGAGTTTTTCAACTTGGCAAGAAACAGTTCTCAGAAAAAGGAAGGATTTTGATCATGCGATTTTACTGAGGTATGTGATTATTCCATCTTTCTTCACACATCTGGCAGATTATTTAAAAAAAAAAAACAAATAGGGCTCAGGAGATGGCTTTGGTGGGTGAGAATGCTCACTATGAAAATATGAGTACTTGGATCCCAAGTACTTATGTAAAAAGTTAGGTGTGGCCATTCATGGGCCAGTTGCCCCAGCAATGTGAGTCAGAAAGAGACAGGAGGACCATAGGGACTTACTGTCCACCAGCCCAGTGTCAGGCTCAATTGGAAACTCTGTCTTAAGGGAATAAAGCATGATAGAGCTGGACCCCTGACATTCCCTTCTGTTCTCTCATGGCCACACATGGGCACGCACATGTGTATACACTTGTGCAAATAAACCACACACACACACACACACACACACACACACACACACACACGCCAATGAAAAAAGAAAGTAAAACAAAATAAACGACATAAAACATTTAAAATTATTTACTTTTGTTATTATACAGGAAAAAGTGTTAATTGTGGGTACAGCAAAAGTCTCAAGTAAAACATTTAATAATATTTTGGCTAATACTAAGTCTATATATATATATATATATATATATATATATATATATATATATATATTCTTATGCAGAATTGAAAATTTGTAGAAGCAAGGTTAAGTTGAGGATCCATAGATATTTCTTATCACCACCCAGGGCCAGACCCTCTCCAAGATTCCACCATTTCTGGATAATCTGCCCTGATAACTTTAACCTACTCTAGTTTCTTTATTTGTAAATAAAAGTTCAAGAGGATTCACTTAATTATTAATTCTTCTGCTCAAAATATCTAGCATTATACTTATCTCAGAAGAAAGTGATTAAGTATATATAGGAATGAAAAGCACAGACCGTGGGATAAATGCCTTTGTTTTCATAAGTGACATCACACTGCTGGAGAGCTACATGAGAACAGCAGTAGATTTAAGTATCTCCTCTGATGCTGCTGATGTCACTGTCAGAGAAGCACCTGCTCTCTGCCTCTAACGACAATAAAATCTCCAGAGTTCTGCAAACCCAGTCTGGGAATCCTCTTTTCAGGGTTAGCTAGAGTTAAGCTTTCAGCCTGAGCTCAGAAGCAAGCTGTTCCTAAAGCCTGTGAGGAGTCCAGTCTAGTCACTTAGTAGATTGATGAGAGAGATCCAGACTATTCATTTTCATCTTCATGGGTCCACAACATTTCTTTTCAGGTGTGTAAGTTTGCCTGTCTTGGGCTTAGACATACACCATTATGACCAAAAGTTATGGGGGGATGACGCATTGTAAAATATTACCATAAAGTTCATGGAAAGCAAGACAGAGGCCCCTACTTATGCATTAGTGTTTAAATGTGTATTTATTATTTGTGATGTATATGTATATGTATATGAGTCATGGTGCACCTGTGGAAGTCATAGGACAATTTGCAAGAGTAAATGTTCTCCTTTCACCAAGTGTGCCCTGGGGAATCGAACTCGTGTTGTCAGGCTTGACGGCTAGCAGCTATTCCTACCGATTTAACTCACAAAGCCATGTGAGAATTTTAGGACATCTAGTACTACCTAAATAGGTGCAATGTACAACGTTTTATTTTAGTAAAGAATTTTTTTTCTTATTTTATGGGTAACTTTCAGTTCAGTAAGTTGTTTACAAACAGGGGCTTAAAGAGGACAGCTGCTCACTGCAACCCGGGCATGATGTCTGGGACTTCCCATGCATTGGGGTACCAGACATCTTCTGTCTATAATCACAAAGATTTAGAAGCAGATAGACAAGACACATGGCATTGTCATCGTGTTATCTTTAATTTCGGAGTTCTTTGAGAGAAGTCAGCCTCTAGCTTGACCCTCCCTAGTTCTTCACATTTCTCATGTTCTTCCAAGGTCTTCAGAGGCTGGCAAGTCCAGAATGCTAAGCTCTAAGAAGCACAGGCAAACACTTACACATAGAACACAGAGATAGAAACATGGTGTATCTTCTCAAATAACGAAATAAAAGGCTAGCCTGGCAGTGGTGGCAAATGCCTTTTTTAATCCCAGGAGACAGAGGCAGGTGGATCTCTATGAGTTCAAGTTCAGCCTGGTCTACAGAGGAAAAAATCAAGGAACACCAAACCGACACAGAGAAACCATCTCTCAAAATACCAAAAAAAAAAAAAAAAAAAAAAAAAAAAAAAAAAAAAAGAAAGAAAGAAAGAAAGAAAGAAAGAAAGAAAGAAAGAAAGAAAGGATGAAAGGGGTCTCTTCAGTTCACCTCCTTTCTTGTATTTGAATTTCCTGATATTAGAAGTGTTGTCTTCTAACTCATGGCAGTTCTGTTTACAAAGGCCCAACTCTAGTTAAAATTAGATCCCTACAATGTAGACATTTATCCTTTTAGGGAACATGGGAATAGTCTTATTTTTACACATGGATTCATTTAAATGTTGGATTAGAACTACCATTGCCCCTCTCTGACCTTCTATGAATGATATTTTAAGTGTTATCAACCATAATCAAATAATCATGATTCTGAGTGCATCTGCTGTACTGTATTTCCCTCCCAAACACCTTAAAGTTTAATTAACTTGCAGTTTTTGTCTGTTTTTGACATTTAAAAGTTTTATCCAGCATAAAGTAGAGAAGAATCAATAAAAACAAGGTTCTTCCTCTTTAAATTTGTTTTTCTTAGGAAAAAAATGCATCATTTGTTTTCTGATTTCATTCTAAGAGCACTTTTGGCTTTCTCAGTGCCTCTAGGTTTAAACTGATCCCAGTGACAACTGGGCCTTCCACTTGTCCAGAGCTAAGAGGATTGTCTCAGGAGCAAAGGGGTTGCCACTGTGATGATTCAGTGCCACTTGGATTTGTGTTAATTAAACCGTTCAGTCAGATTGAGAATAAGTATTCTTGCTTCTATCTTGTTCGTAGTGGGAAGTGGCTCTACACGCCTATGCAAGGAATTGCTTACCCAGGAGAAATGTGCCACCCGCTTCATTCATGCAGTGTTGTCAAGGTGGGCTGTCATCCCAACATCGTACCGTTTAATCCAAATATTTGAACAAATGTTGTATATTTATATTTATCTGAATCGCATTGAAAAGCCACACGTGATCTGTAGTTAACCTCTATTTCCAAATGTATGTCACAAAGAGATCTATATTCTTTTTAGCAAATGAAAAAAAAATACAAAAAAAGTGTCTTCCGAAAAACTGTGAGTGAACAATAAAGTTAAACCACAGTTCAAAGATCTATATACAGGAATGAAACCACAGCAATGTAGTCCATAGCTGTAACTCTTTTGTGTATTAAGTATGACTATTTATTAGGACAAGTAAGGTCCAAGACATTTCAGGTTTACTTAACCATTAAGTACAAGCCACTTAACGTGTAATATGAAGACAGGCTTGGCAATCATGCTCAGTTAGGAGAGGACCCATGCACTATCATCTCTCCTTGCTTGGATGGCCTCTCTTTTAGCCTCAAAGCTTCCAGGAAAGGCTACTCATGTAACTCTGCTGGAGACATACCTGAAAACATGAAGGTTTGTGTCTTGCTGTCTTTCCTTGGTTGCTGCTGTCCCCAGCTTAGTTTTGTTGAGACCCAAGCTTAAAAGCTAGTGTTTGTTGGAATAACCTCGCCCACTTATTATTTTGTAGTCACTTCTCTGACTATAGATTCGCCTTTAGAATATGAATGATGTAAGTTCTGCATGCAAATTCACTTTACCCCCGTTGAAGCTATCACTACTTCAAATATCATATTTTAGCCAAACCAAGAAGCATTTGAAGCTTCATATGAGGAAAATAAAATAAACAAAATAAAGGTGTTCTGTTAACTTTATAATAACCAGATGACCTATCCTGCTTTGGATTTATGTTTTATGAATACAGGGGTTAAAGCATGAACTAGATCCATGAGACAAGGCAGCAACCAATTCTACCCTGGATTTTATATTTCTGATTTCAGAGGTTTTTTTTTTCATAGCACAAGCAATCTCCATAAGAATTATAAAATTTTATTTTATGTGCATTATGTGCATTAGTATGAATGTGTCTGATCCCTTGGAAATGGACAGTTGTAAGCTGCCATGTGGGTACTGGGAATTGAACCCCGATCCTTTGGAAGAGCAGGCAATGCTCTTAACCACTGAGCCAAGGGAACTATAGGGGGAATACAAAGTAAATAAAGTGTAATTAATAAAATTTTTTTAAAAAAAGAATTATAAAATTGTTTGCTCAATATGTCAGGATTGATTGAAAACAACAGCAAACCTCTTTTTTGGAATATCTAGCTCAGAGATGATGTCAACACCACTTATAAAATTGTGTGGGGTATTGGTCTTTAATCTAACCAGGGACTTCTGTAACAAAATACCAGAAACTGAGTAGGTTGTAAACCACAGAAATGTATTTCTCACAATTCTGAAAGCTGAGGAGTCCAAGAACCTGATCCACTTGTATCTGGTGAGGGTTCCCAGCTTCTCACTGTCTCCCATTGTAGAGAGATGTTTCTCCTGAGCCTGCTTGCTTAGGACACTGACACCACTGCTGGGGACCTTGCCCCCCCCCCCGGCATAAACACTGAAGTCTGTGGGGCTTACAACTCCAAAATATAGGTTTTGGAGGAATCCTACAGTCAGGTAGAATAATATTAGTTAATGGATTTTACATAGTTGGATAAATGAGTACTAACACAACAGATAGGAGTATGCTGTACACTAAAAAATTATAAAGTTAGAAATATTTAAAAAGCCATTTTCCCTACTTTATTATAAGTTATAGTCATGGGCTGAGGTATAGATGAGATATAATTAGTATAGATTTCCCAAATCCATACTAAGATTCAGAAAAAGAGCCTTTCAAGGACCGATTTCAAGTGATACCCATGTACTACTTTGGGATGTCTTACATACATCTCCATTGTTTCCCTCCTCCCCCAAACAGGATCTTCTGCCAGATGTAAATATAATTGGAAACAGAATGGCGCATCAGCTGGGACATAGCCTGGGCATGGAGCATGATGACTTTCCATGTACCTGTCCTTTGGGAAAATGTGTAATGAGCAGCAGTGAAAGGTGAGGCTCTGAGAATGTAGATAATACATTTATTTTCATATGTTTTTTTGAAATTTTTTTGTATAATATATTCTGGTCACAGTTTCCCCTCTCCCTACCCCACACACTTCCTTCCCATGCACCCAAAACTACCCTATTTCTTTACTCTCCCTTTAGAAAACAGGCAAAAATAGAGGAGAAACACAAGAAACACAGACATACAAACAAAACTCCCAAACCCATAAAAAACACAACATGGGAAACCGTGATATACAGATAAAAGACCAGTAAAACAAACAAACAAAAAATAGCCAAGTAAAGCCATATGACACAAAAATACCATTTACTTTGTTTTCTGTCAGCCATTTAGTGCGAGTCTTGGAGCCTACTCTTAAGTGAGGTCAATGTAGCCAGTGAGACTCCTTTGGAGAAAACACATTTTCCTTTGCAAGCAGACAACAGAGATTACTCCACAACATACAGTGAGTGAGTTGCCTCTTGTGGTCAAGACCTCATTCCTGTGCATCTTCAGACTCCTTTGTAGCAAGAAGAATAAGAAAAATGTTATTGTTAGTGGTTTCTTGCGTATGCGGATTGACTCAGTGATACAATGTTGAAGCTGGAGAGATGGCTGTGTGGCTCCAAGCACATACTGCTCTCACAGAGGACCTAAGTTTAGTAGCATCTATATTGGGAGGCTCACAAGCACCTGCGACTCCAGCTCCAGGAGGATCTGAGGTCTTCTTCTGGGCTCTATGCATGCCTGTACACATACCCACACATCAACAATTTGAAAGCAAATAGATATTTTTAAAATGATGGAAAATAGCTAAAGCTCAAAGTGCAGTGGCTGTCACAGAATAGGACTCAGCAACTGATTTCAAGGTAGTAATATTCTCAGGGTCATACCAACCCCATTGGATGGACTCAAGTCTCTAAAAGGCCTTCTGTATTTAAGCATTGAAGGGAATCAATCAAAGGAAGAGAAAGGGGAGTGGAATGTTGGTTTAAAAGGGGTATTTATAAGTCATCAGGTTGTTTTAAATATTATGGGGTTTATTTCTACAAGCATGGTAGGGAACTATGCCATACTAGGCACTGTGTTAACTCATGGTTATTCTTAAAGAATTGAACGTAATGGCCTCTTTGACTTGGTTGCAAAGTTTGTCATCTTTCGGAGATGGTAAACCAGATTTATATTGTTATGTGTTTATATTACAAGGAATACATGATATTATAATTCTGGTTTACAGTAGGGACTGGGGAGATGGCTTGGTTGTTAGGAGCACTTGTTGCTCTTGCAGAGGATTGAGATTCAATTGCCAGCATCTACACAAAGCCTTTCAACCATCCTTAACCATCCTTAACTCTAGTTCCTGGGAATCCAGTACCTTTTGGCCTCTACAGTCACTGCACATAGGTATATGTACAGACAAAATACCTATAACATAAAATAAATATAATTTTACTTTTACATAAGTGGGACACATTAGAGGGTAAACAGGAACAGGAAGCAGAGACAACTAACTAACTAGCATGTTCAGGAAGGATTTGTTGAAAGACACATAACCAGAGTGTTTCACTGAAACAACATTCATTGGTTGTGTCTCTGGAACACAACTATGAAGTAATAAGGAACTTGGCCATGGCTCTGCTCTGACAGTTAGCATTTGTATTTATTTTCCTATTCCTCATTAATCTTTTACAGTTCCACTTATGTGACAAATCTTTATGTTCACTTCATCTCATCTCTAGCATCCCTGCAATAAAATTCAGCAAATGTAGTCTAGCCCAATACCAGCAATATATGAAGAATCAGAAACCAGAGTGCATATTCAACAATCCACTTTCTGACGAACTCAATGATTATCCGTTCTGTGGAAATAAGAAGGTGGATGAAGGAGAAGAGTGTGACTGTGGGCCAGCTCAGGTATTTGCAAATGATGTCATCTTTAACAAAGAGGGTGCTCAGCTGGAATCTCAGCAGATGATCATACTCTCACTGAAACCGTATTAAGCTGATTTCATCATCCATTTAAAGCCCAGCTGTGGAACAGTCCTCATTTCAAGCCTTCTTATGAAATCTCCAGTCATGTGTGATGATCTTGCTGGAGATCAGGAAGCATTTCATTTGCTTGGCTTATACAGTAACGGTCTTGACTTGTGAAAAGTACTCTTAAGTCTGATCCCTCAGCCACACACAGTACGTGGTGGCCATCCTAGGAATCATCTCCTAGTCAATCAAGTTATACTTAGAGCCTTGGGAAGCTTGTCTATATCATTGCTGGGCAGTTGTCATTATAGAAAACTCTTCTTTACGAAAGGAACAAAAAACTTTCGAATTGTTCATATACTTATTGAAGTGCAGAGCACTTAGAAAAGGCCTTAGATGTAAATTTTCAGGTAATTCTTGGTCTGCTTTTATAAGCCATTTCTTTCAAAACTCATCAAATAAATATGCATCCTCCGCTACTTATGACGCAAATGAACAAGGGCAGTGTAAACCTCTGGGGAATCTGTTAAAATATGAAGCATAGTAAGTCTCCAGTGCCGATGCAATTTACACGCCCACCAACCTGCTGAGCTCTAGATGCAGTACAGTGTAAAGTTCTCTACTAGGACAGCAACTGAAAGAGTCTATAACGAGGGTGGGGCTGACTCATCCAGACAGCCTGAGACCAGTCTTCAAAGTCTCAGATGAAATTAGAAAAGGCTTTCGGCTTTGGACTAGGATCCATTTGCCCTCTGTTCAAATGTGTGGAGGCCTTGGCCGATCAGATACAGACAGACAACTGCGCCCGGAGTAGGCAACACTCCTGAGTGACTGTCTTATTGTTGTGCTATAATGATGTGTTGGAGGGAGGAGGGGGTTGGAAAGTTCAGGTTGAAATGCTTGGCATCCCAAGCCAGAGGTAAGGTCAGATTTTAGAAACTGCATTATCTCACGTCAGACGCTAGCACAGGGAAGCAACAGGGTATGAAGTCATGAGAAGGCTGGGAGGTCATTGTCTGTGGACTCTATTCCTGCTTATGCAATGAGAGTGCATAAGCTGGAAAGTACAGAAGGAGTGAGGCAGAAGGCAACACAGCAGGAGTCCCCAGCACCAGCTGTATGCCAAAGCCAAGGACCCTGCGTTTCTACGGAGCTCTTGAAGGAGCACAAATAATTACCTCATCAAAAAGGAGCCAACACACAAACCCATTCGTAATGTTTACATTTTCGTCTTCCCAGGAATGCACTAATCCTTGCTGTGATGCACACAGATGCGTCCTGAAGCCTGGGTCCACTTGTGTGGAAGGAGGGTGCTGTGAATCATGTCAGGTGAGGCCCTTGGATCCCAAGGATCCCTGTGTTCTCCGTTTAGGTGTGTGGACCAACAAGGCACCCTCTGGCCCCTGCACTGCTGCTTCCGGGGGACGGAGTGTCTCTTCTAAAGACCCAAAAGTGTTTAATCTGAAACGTTCTGGTGTTTGAACCAGGTGGTGCTCTCTCTGGCCTGGGAAAAGAGAACATGCTGAGCCTCATTTGATGTTTGTAGGAGTGAAATCACATGACCAGCGCTATTCTTGTAATCTGTTTAACCTCAAGAGGATGGGGAGGGAAATTTATACATCCCCAAATATAATTTATCTAAAGGAGAGCAGATTATATATAAATACTAGATGTCTAGGCATTGGAGTAGGGGAAAAAAAAAGACCAGAAACTCCACAGGTTTAACTGACATTTGGCCCCACTGAATTGCAAGCTTGCGAATCTTCATATCTTCAACTCTTTCTAGGGACCCCACACATTTCAGAGAATGTGGCTGTGCACTCCCCTGAGCAATGAGAATCAGGGGACTGTTACAGCGTATGTTGTAAAGTCTGATCTGTGGGTGGCAGAGATTCTGTGCTATGTACCCCATGGGTAGGGATTCACTGGAGTGATTTCTCCAGCGCAAGGGATGAAGAAAAGCGATGTCAATGAGAACACCTGCACATTTCACCATGTTGTGTCCAGGTCAGACCTCCTTAAGGCTTGTGTGATATCAGTTTTCAAAACCACCTTCTCAGGCTGGAGAACAAGCTTAGTAGTTAAAATCACTGGCTGCTTTTGCAGAAGACCCAGGCTAGGTTCCCCGCACCCATGTAGCAGATTACAACTGCCTGTAACTCCAGCTGCAGGGATCTGATGCCAACTTCTGGCCTCTGTGGACACCAGAAATGAATACATGCAGGCACAACACTCATATACATAAAACAAACAAATCCTTAAAAATAGCCTACTGTCTTCTCATCCTCAGCATCATATAAGAGTCATGGCATCTAAAATTTATAATTCTTAGCACTGGAAAGGAAGCTCTAAGCCAGTCTCTTAGAAATAAGTTAATTAATTCAACCTTCTGCCTAATATACTCAGCTTCAGCAACTCACACATTAAAGACTCCAATATTTGTTCTTCCTCAACAGATAAAGAAAGAAGGGACCTTATGCAGACAAGCAAAAAATGAATGTGATTTTCCTGAAGTGTGTACTGGATACTCTCCTGAGTGTCCTAAGGACCAGTTCCAAGCCAATGGGTTTCCTTGCAAGAATGGAGAAGGCTACTGCTTTATGGGGCAGTGTCCCACTCGGGTTGATCAGTGCTCAGAGTTGTTCAGTGATGGTGAGAGATAGCCCCAGGAATGAATGATTAAGATGACAGTCCATACTTCTCTGTTACTATCTTCTAAGAATTTAGGGTACAGTTGGAGATAATATAATTTGTGACATTCAAGGTTTCACCTAGCATTTCTTTGGCTGCAACCTCTATTGCTGATTTTACCTCCAATATAAATGATTGGCTCTGTTTTAGAGCTGGTGTGCATGTATTGTTCTTACAGATCTCTATTCCTACTTAAACTACTGTCCTGCATCAATCAATACTAATGATTTATTGATTCTGTTCTATTGCACCATTTTGTGGTATGATTCAGCAAGCTTAACTGTAATTCTCAATATTCACGCCTTTTTAAAAAATTTTATCATGTAATTGTCACCTCCAGGAGCACAAGAGAGTCACAATTTTTGCTACAGGATGAATAAAAAAGGCAACAGATTTGGATACTGCAAAAAAAGGGGAAACACATTTGTTCCTTGTGAAGAGAAGTAAGTGCCTAATGGAAATAGATCCCTATGAAAGTTTATTGAAAACTCAAAAGGGCTTCTGTTCTGATGCCTTTTAACCTGATTTTGCTGAGAATTATGAGGAGAGTGGAGAGTACAGACCCCTGGCTTCATTGGTTGAATGAAAATCTTTGTGGGTCCTGGAGTAGAAAGAACAAAGAAGGGTTAGACTGGAGGAAAGAAAGGGAGGAGAAGAGTGCTACCAAAAGAGGACAAACTGGAATGAAAAATGTGTTTTAAAGTGGAAAAACGAAAGAGGGAAGGAAAGCAGTGAAGGCACTTAAAGACAGGTGCTCATAGAGTAAAGAACGTTGGAGGTGAGGCTGATCTAAGCTCCCTTCCAGGTCTGTAAGCTGACATTCATTCCACACAGCCCATGTGACAAAACAGGAGTTGGACTGAAAAGAACAACTCCAAAACCTTCAGTCCAGTTCGCCTTTGTTTCCATACACACTGTGTGCAAAAGGAATCCCCTCACTTCCCTCTCAGAAACCTTCGCTTGCTGTCTGACTGCAAGGTAGATGCTGAAAGGACAGCAACCCCAGATCCCAGAATTAGTTAATGTCAAAACATAAGAGCACTTTTACTTTTCCCATTCAAGTCATGCTGGTTCAAATTACTAACAAATATTCTTTGTGAACTTTTATGAATACTGAGTTTTGAGACCTGGGAAATCAGTGATTATTCTGCATACTGTATTTATTCGTATCAGTTCCTAGAGTCGGAACTTTGAATGCCTGAGAGAGATCTCAGCCTACTCCGGCCCTTGGATCTGCTGATAAAGAGGGTTTAGAGGAAAGTGGCCAAGCTGATTGTCTCTGTTCTGACGGTTGCTTTGGTTACCAGTCCTAAATCTGAGACCATTTCACTTTTCCTTCAGAGATCTCAAATGTGGGAAGATCTACTGTCTGGGAGGCCAGCACTCATCACTTCTCGGAGAGGATAAAGCCTATAACCTTAAGAACCCGAAGCAGAATGCAACCGTCAAATGCAAAACTGTGTTTTCACACCATAATTCTAAAGACATTGGCCTGGTTAATCCTGGAACAAAATGTGCAGAGGGAATGGTACGAGAAAAACTTTGTATATGATTAAAATGTCTTGGTTCAGGGTCTCAAACACCATCCATTGCTGTTATTGGTTTCAAAGGGGGTTTGTTTCTATATGAGGAAGCAAAAACAAACAAACAAAAAGCAATGGCAACTTTTCTGGTAATTATTGAGGGACAGGAAAGAAATAATAAGGTAATGTTGTTCTTGCTCAATTGCAGTCACACTAAATTATAAGTAATTGCTATAAACACATTTAATTGGTATCTCAAAATAGGCATCTAATGAAATCATATAACTTCTACACGGATTACTGTAACTGATGTCAACAATCACTCTTTGTTTATTTTATTCATTCAACCGCATTTACTGGCGGGGTCCTAGGTTTTCAGTAATTAGGCTGGGTTCCCACGGCCCACAGACAAGCATACCTGAGATTGTCACTCACACACACACACACACACACACACACACACACACACACAGCATTCCCAACAGAAATGCTTTCCTGGAAGCCAGTGAGTAGTGCAGTGTGACTGCTCATACTTCAGCTGGATTTGAAATATTTATTTTTTTAACAGAGAGGAAACAAGAAAGGCTTTTTAATGTATCTTCCGGATTTTAACAATTATGATCTATAGTTATTGTGCCTACTTATAATCCTCTAGCCCATGTGTAGAATGAGCAACAACCAAATCTGAGTAACTAAGATAGACACCACTTTAATCTGTGACCATTTCTTCATGTTGAGAATGCTCAGAATCCTTTCTACCAACTATGTTAAAGTACTCAGTAAACTGTTGTTAATTACAATCGTTCTACTATACTGTGAACCACTGGAAACTATTCTTCCTGGTTAATTGAAAATTTAAACCTATTAACTAGAGTTCCCTTTCTCCTTTCCCTGGCAACCCACCAGCACCTGGAAGCCACAATTCAGTTCTCTGCTTCCTTAAGGTCAATGTTTTAATCTTTCACACATGATTGAGAGTTTCTTATCTGTCTCTGTGTCTGGCTTATCTCACATAACCTGTCTCCCACACTTATTAAAGATGCCACAAATGACATCCTTTTATTCATTTTCCAGCTAAATTATACTCAGTTGTATGTCTGGCACATGTTTTTGTCCAGCATAGGTAGGTTGAATCAATATCTTTATTAGTATGAATAACTTTTCAGCAAACATGAGAGTACATAAAAGCCTTTAAAAAAAAAAAAGAAAAAAGAAAAAGACAGAATTCCTATGTAAACACAAAATAAAGCTTCTTGGTTCCCATCTGCCTAGCTAAAGTACAGTACTCATAGCTGCAAAAGAAGAGGAGTAAAGGTAGATGACTGGAGAATTACAAAAACAGGAAGGGAGAACAGAGGAGAGACGCAAGAGAGTATGATGGGGGAGGGAAGGCTAGTCCATCTATTGGCATAGAGGGATTGCAACTCTTTGTGGTTATAACTTCTAGCTAAATAAAGATGGCAAAATCAAAGCAAGACTTTTTCAGCATTACACCTTAGCTGGCTTGTGATCCTCACAGAAAGATTGACATGGGTGTTATGGGTGTGAAAGCAACCTGCCCTAGTGCTGTATCAAACATGCAATTAAGCCGCAGAAGGAGGAATGTATAATTTTATATGTCACTGTGTAAAATCACATCTCCTAAGTTGCATCACTCTAATCCATGCCTGTTGCTTCCTCTCTAGGTTTGCAGCCATGGAGAATGTGTACAAATAGAAAAGGCCTACAATTCAACCAGTTGCTCCTCCCAGTGTGATGAAAACTCTGTAAGATTTCATTGCCTCTTCAAATAGTGCCTTACCAACCGTTTTTAGCCTTCCCATACACCTGTGTGGAAGTATGCTGATCTTTATAAAGAGTGATATATTTTATTTACATTTTATGTATAACCAATAAAATCAGTGCAAAGAGCCAACCCAGATATTTACAAATAGACGTCACCAATATTGCATGTAAATAATCTGTTGTAAAATTGGTAATTTAGAAACTCATTTATGTACATACATATGAAGCTTAAACACGAAGTTTAAGGTTTAATTTTTTCCTAATATCACTTACAATTAAATGATGCCAGTATCAACATTCGTTTGTAAAAACATTAGCTTTTAGAAAAACACACAAATTGTAAATTTATTTTAAACTAAACACTGGTCAATACTATCAGATTTGGGTGGAACATTTTCCCTAAACCGAGTGTGATCAGTTAAAAATTTATTAAGATTTATATCAAACGCTCTTTCAAATACTAGAATTTACATGGATATAAATATGGATGTATGGGTCTGATGTAAAACTAGCATTAACATAGGTGAGCTGTGAAACATAGCTTCTATCATTCATTCAGTAACAATAACAAGGCATTATTGACTGCTCTTCCAGGTGGATGATCAGAAACCTGAGTGTGAGTGTAAGGAAGAACCGCTAATTACAGACTGGGGAGAAGCCTTAAACCTTACCAGTAAGCAGTTTAGAATATAATACTCACATACATCCTAAGCCTCACACACACACACACACACACACATCCCTTCTGCCATATACTTGTTGTGTTTCTACTTGGATTTTTATGAGTCTATCTTACTATTTCACATGTTGGGAGACCCAAACTAAATTTATCATATTTGCCTTTTAGAATTAATGTATCTTCTAGCCATCTGTGGTTAATGACTTCTGAAATCCAAAACACAATGGGGCCTTTCCTATAGCTGGTTAATAACTAACCAGCAGACATCTTCTTGCTGACTATTATTTTCCTCAAGCATCATAGAATCTTAGAATTGATCGTTATAACTTAACCTGTAATTTGTATCATATCAGAGGAAGGAAAGCTAAAGTCCTTTAGGGAAAAAAATGAAGTGGCAACCATTGTTAGCCTTCTACAGTCCTAAAGTAGGTACTCAGTTGAAAGCCTGTTAATTTGTTTTTATGGTGTAGATGTCTCCATCATGGCCATCGTGCTTGTCATGGTTATAATTGGTGTTGGACTTGTTACATTATTAATTCGTTACCAGAAATGCATCAAGATGAAGCAACATCAAAGGTATGTCTGCATATTCCTAGTCAAAGGAAGCTATCACTAAGAACATACCAACTATGTAGACACAGAACATATCAATGCTGGGTGGTTTGAGTCTAGTACTAAAACTCAGGTAAGAAAACCAAATCAAACTTTTACACGCCTGTTCATAGCCACATTCTTATCCCTGTAGTTCTCAAACTTTGCTATTTGTTGAGAACCATACACCTCGTTCATAAAATATAAATATTGGTTTCTTGCTGAGATATTGTAATTTGAATTGTTACAAGGTACAAGCTATACATCACTTAAAAATGTTGGGTGTGGTTTAAGTATAATCACTTGCCTATTCCCACAGAATGTGTCAGTGTTCCATTTCCTCTTTTACAGCTCTTCCAGAGAAACACAGGGAGTAGAGAATAAAGGGTACTTTCCCAATGAGCATCAGACAAGGAGTGATCCAATCTTGACAGATATCCATCCCCTACATGTGAGATACTTTCACTTGTGACAGTTAATGAACTGTCTTGTGTATGTTGATGTGCTTTACTTATTCTTATAATCTGATACATGTGTATGTGTATATAATATACGGTGATATATATATATATGTGTATCATATATATATGTATGTATTATTAATGATTCCTAGATTTTTCTCTTTGGAAGAAATTCCTGTCCAACGTCTTGCTTCTGCTGGGCCATGCCTTTTAGCTGTTTCACTGTCTCCTAAGGAGTTAACATAAAGTATATTAAAGAAGGGCACACCTGTATATTCATAGGCAGTTTGGAAGCACCCAAAGAGCTTCCACGTTCAAAACAATGTAAGTGACTCTGGCCTTTCAGAACTCCAACGGGACTTTTGAGATCTGGAGGCGACCAGACTCGTCTGGTGTTATTCATACCACAGCATACTAAGAAGATCCCATCATCTCTCATGTGTGTTCTTTAAAGAAGAAATCTTAGATATACTCATTTGTAAGACAGCAATCCAGGGAAGATTACTGTTTCTGCATCTTTCCTTATTTGCACATTTACTAGGTCTTTGTCCCAGGATAGGAATACATTCTGTGGGCTTAGAGTGATCCTTTCTTGAGCACTAGTTGCAGATTAACAATATCTTTCATCACAGAGCACTGCGGAGTCCTTGGAGCGCCTACCTTCCAGTTTTTCAAGTCCTCACTACATCACACTGGTATGTCCTTCCTCTTGGTTGGTTGTGTCCATTTAGATACATTTAATTTTGCTGTCACTTAACTACTACTGGTTCCTTGAAAAGGCCCAGTGATATCACCCAGATATTAGGGTGAACTACAACTAACTCGCTCTGGTATCAGCACGTGCTTAGCCTGGTGGGGTAGAGCAGGAGAGGATAAAACGAGCCTGCACACAGGAGACACCCTTTGTTTAAAATGGTCATGGGTAGTCACAAACACCATTAACTGTGATTTAAAATAATAATAAAAAAACTACTTCCCTTTTACCCCTAATAGTATATTACCGTCTGTCTACTCTCACCTCTTTCCTTAAAAACCCACTTCTCCCTTCTCAAGAACTCTTTCTAGTTTTGCGATATAAAGCTACACACAAATGCAAAGTTAAAAGCCAGGCTCCACACTGGAGAGACAGTTGAGATATTTGTCCTTCAGAGTCTGGGTTAATTCACTTAATGGAATAATTTCCAGATCCATCCACCTTCCTGCCAGTTTTATTTTTCTCTATGGCCTGAATAACATTCCATTGTATATATTACTGTGTTTACATTACCTCAACTGTCTGTTGAAGGGCATCTAGGCTTACCCCACATTCTTGTTATTGTGAGTAGTGCAATATTCCACATGGATATCCGAGAACTTACATGTTAGGGCTGAGGGTCTTTTGGGTGTTTGTCCGGAAGTAGTCTTGCTGGCATTAGTCACTGTAATTATTGACTTTTTTGTTGTTGTTGTTGTTATTTAAGGTCTGTTTTTTGTTTGTTTGTTTGTTTTAATGAATATCTTCCTCACATCACCCCAATCATGGCCCCATTTTTAAGGGGTAGAAACACAACGACAGTTTTCACTGAGGCCTTGATCAGCTCCACAGTTCTGGACTCCCCATTAACCAAGATGGTGAAAACACAGAATTAGTACATAATCTCTAGTAATTCCCCACATCCATGTGCATCTTCAAAGTTGCACATGAAGGTACTTCATACTCAGAGATGGAAGATGTATGTACTCATTAAGATTCTCAGAGCTGCAGTTTAAAACCAGCTGTTCTCCCTAAATGGATGACCGAGAGAGGCTGTGATCAGAGATAGTTCTGTCTGGGATTCTTCAGTATCACAGAAAGGACCTCATACTGCGCCTAACAGAAGCAAATTTTCACTGCGTTCCCGGCAGAAGCTGTGTGGCCCCTATCAAAGATGTGTCTAGAGGGTTTCTGGATGTTTGAAAACTCTCTCACACAACATGTTCTAGGAGTTTCACACGCTGTACCAAAGCTAGTGGCTTCTCATGAGACCTTCCCTAAGTGCGACCATCCTCAGTCTCCCATTAATGATTCATAATGTGCTTTAGATGATTTCCCCATAGAGCAAGAAGTGGTCTGCCCTGGGTGCGTGTGCCCGTGTGCATGCATGCATATGTGTGTGCTGCTAGAAAGAACTAATTCCATTCCTGATAAAACATACCTTATGTGTCACAGAAATATGTCAGCAAGGACTCAAGAAGAATTGCAGATCCCAAGCAAAGTAATAATGTGGTAAGTTCCTGTCACAGAAAGTGGCCCCCTATTTAATTTTTCAAATGCTGCCACTCTTCAGTGTCCCTTACCTACCCATTCACTGGCTAGAGACATCCTCTGCACTTACCAGAAGATAGGATGATCGAAATTGTCTTGACGGACACTCTGAAATTTTTATAGGGTGCTCCACAATGCATATTTACACTAAGAATTGTAAGCTTTGTGGAAGGAGCAAGCTAAGAATTAACAGTGTCAGACTCACAAGATGTTCTAGAAATAACTGACAGTTTTCTTTCAGATTTTATTGGCCATACCCACGCTTTCGGATTCTTTGATATACTTTAAAGGGCAAAATGGCACTGTTTACCAAATTGCTCCATTACTAAAGATTTTTCTTACCAAGTCAACAGACAGCCGCAGATGAGAGCCACTGGCCCATTTGAATATTTATGTTTATATTGGGGGAAAAAAACCTCTATTTTTTGTAAGAGAAAAAGAACAACTAGTTTTTGCCTATATTTTTGAGCTTCTGCTTTCTCTCTTTCACTTGTTTTTGTGACGTTTCTGCAGTGTGGTGGATGCTCTATTTTTGTCCACAGAATATTTTGGAAGAGAATTCTAGCCAGTATAGGCATGCTAGGTTGGAGAAAGAAGAGCATGTTCTAATAACTCCCCTCCCCCAACTCCCCTGTGGGGAAAGAGAGCAGTGAGTGGAGACACTCCCGCCAGCAAGCATGCTATCTAGCCTCCTGGCATGAATGAAATCACCTTCGTTTGGATATGATCAGCCCATTTACTTTAAAGCATAAACAACCACGGCTACCATCTAAGAGGTGTGAATAAAAAGCAATACAATGAACACAGTGAGAGGGTTCAGCGGGTGAGGTACCCACTGCGCAAACCCAACCACCTGAGTTTGATCCCAGGATCCCATGGTGAAATGAGAGAACCAAGTCCCAAAAGTTGTCCCCTGACAGCTAAGTACATTCTACTGTGGTGTGCATGCACAGACATGCACACACACACATACACACACACACACAAACATACACATGCACTCTCACACACACACATACACACTCTCATACAGACACTCACACATTTTCTCTTATACACAATAATAGTAATTATGTAATTTTAAAGTAGTAAAACAGAATCAGTGAGGCTAAGTCCAAATAGATACAAGGGACTGAAGCAGAGGTTTACAGATTTTTATGGAAAACAACTCACCTTTCACCATATGCTTCTGTTTAGAATTTGAAGCTGGACATCCAAAGCGGCTGCGCAAGACTAGGCTGAAGATCCTCAGTTCAGGTCGTCACATCCTTGATGTCTGCTCAACAGATCTTGGTCTCCAAATATTCTTCACATGCATGGAAAATGTTCAAGAGAAATAGCTTCTTTCTGTTAAATATTGAGTAATAGAATCCGCAACCAATAGCACAGACATAAGTTCCAGAAATGTATATGAATTTCTTAACGGGCTTTAGCTTAATATCCAAATAGGAAGTCTCTCTGCTCTAGTAATTTCCTACACCATATTAATCTTGTTACTTTCATAAGAATCAAAACCTGGGCATAGGTCATTTAGAGCCTCACAAACAAGGCTAGTGATTTGTCACTTCATGAGGGTCATAAAAGCGCTTACTCTCAGGCCAGGTGTGGTGGCCTGGGGCCTGTGATCCCTGGAGGGTGAGGGAGGGAGATCACAGGTTCAGGGTCTATGTGGGCTGTAGAGAGAGATCACATCAAGACTGGGAGGCTCGGTGAGAACTCTAACAAAAGCATGAAATTTTAAAAATGCACTAGGGACATTAGGGATGAGCTCAGAGGTGGAGCAGAGTAGAAGGCACCCTGGTTCAGCCCCCAGAACTACAAACAAACAAACAAACAGAAAGTTCAAAACAAAGAAACAGACAGTGCACCTGCTTTGATTTGCAAGCTAAATCACTAACATCTGCTTGAAATGAAATCATCTCCTGTTGAAGTGCCAGGGAGGTCAGGACAGGGTAGAGAGTTGTGGTAGATGATTACAAGTTGAGGGAAGAAAAGAACGGCCTTCTTGACTACAGAATAGACAGAAAGTGTATCATATATTACTAAGGTTGCAGGGGTTTTTGGTTTCTGGGTCTGCCTTTCTAAAATTCTATAAGAAGCTCAGAAGGTGACAGAGACTTTAAAGTTCTCTTCGTCTTGGTGCAGGAGAGGTCTCTGGGCCCTCCGGAAACATGACGGAAGAGCTTAGTGTCTATTTCCGTTCTGCAGATCACTGCAGACCTGTGCCTTTGTTGCCGTGAGTGGGGTTGCTTCTTTATACAGACGTCTGTGGGTGGGGGCACTCTCTCACAGCCTCTGTTTTCTTGTTGGGAACTCTTAAACCTATGGAAGCTATTTTTTTTTCCTCATACTGAAATAAAGATCTCAAAAGCTAAATTTTTTTTTTTTTTTCTGATTGAATGAAATAAAAGCCAGAGGGGAACAGACCTCGCTGTCCTTGGTGGTGTTTCTATCGCTGCACTATTACAGTTTATCCTCCTGAAGGAGCCAGTGAGAACCCTGGTGACTCAGCACATCACACAAATCAGCTTTCCAGAGCATCCTATTCGGGTTTTTTTCTTTTTTCTTTTTTATTAATTACACTTTATTCACTTTGTATCCCCCCTGTACCTCCCTCCCTCCTCTCCTCCCAATCCTACCCTTCCTCTTCCCCACCCGTGTCCCTCTCCCAGTCCACTGATAAGGGAGGTTCTCCTCCTTTTCCCTCCAATCCTGGTCTATCAGGTCTCATCAGGAGTGGCTGCATTGTCTTCTTCTGTGGCCTGGTAAGGCTGCTCCCCCCTCAGGGGGAGGTGATCAAAGAGCAGGCCAATCAGTTCCTGTCAGAGACAGTCCCCATTACTATGGAGCCCACTTGGACACTGAACTGCCATAGGCTACCTCTGTGCAGGGGTTCCAGGACATCTCCATGAGTGGTCTTTAGCTGGAGTATCAGTTTCAGAAAAGACCCCTGTGCCCAGACTTTTTGGATCTGTCACTGTCTTTGTGGAGCATCTGTCTTCTCCAGGTCTTACTATCTCCCACTTCTTTCATAAGATTCCCTGTACTCTGCCCAAAGTTTGGCTATGAGTCTCAGCATCTGCCTCAATACCCTGCAGGGTAGAGCCTTTCAGAGGCCCTCTGTGGTGGGCTCCTGTCCTGTTCCCTGTTTTCTCCCTCCTCCGATGTCCATCTTCTTTGTCTTTCTGAATGGGTATTGAGCATCTTAGCCAGAGTCCTCAGGAACAGCGCTTCCTCAAGATCCAGCTGTACCACTCCTAGGCACATATCCAAAAGATGCTCAAGTATTCAACAAGGAAATATGCTCAACCATGTTTGTAGCAGCTTTATTTGTAATAGCCAGAACCTAGAAACAGCCCAGATACCCCACAGTTGAGGAATGGATACAGAAATTGTGGTACATCTACACAATGGAATATTACTCAGCAATAAAAAGCAAGGAAACCATGAAATTTGCAGGTAAGTGGTGGAAACTGGAAAAGATCATCCTGAGTGAGGTATCCCAGAAGCAGAAAGACACACAGGGTATATACTCACTCATAAGTGGATATTAGACATATAATATAGGATAAACATACTAAAATCTGTACACCTAAGGAAGCTAATCAGGAAGGAGGACTCTGGCTAAGATGCTCCATCTGGGGTTTTAACCAAAGTGGCCTCTTTAAGAAAGAATATTGGCCTGGGGCTGCAGCTTATGGGGAAGGGAGGGGAGGAAAGGAGTAGGGAGGAAGAAGACAGATCAGGTCAGGGAGAGAATAAGAAGGGAAGAGAAAGGATGAGGAAGAGCAGGAGGAGGAGGATTACAAGTATTAAGAGGAGATCCCAACACCTGGTAGAAAATGGCAAGGAACTAGAAAGTTTGAAGAGAGCCTAAGCTGTGGAGTGAGCTCAAGGCTGTCTCAGCTACATATGGAGAGTTTGTCTTTAAAAAAAAATGTTACCTGTTGATGTAGCTCAATAAATGGAGCTCTGTGTGTATTGTGTGAAGAGTATAAACATATTTGTATCTTTTCACAACTTCAGAATTCATCAAATAGCAGCAAATTCATATGCTACTTCAATTTCATTGGCTGTGATTTTGCTTAATAGCTGCCCTTGCCATTGACAGTCACAGGCTCTTTCATTCTATTTTAATCATTAATATTAACTTGTAAATCATACACAGTACTATACTGTTATGTATTTTACAGAATGTCAAAGAAAGGGTTCATGAGGTTGCAAGGAACAGAAGCAGTGTTCTAAGAGAGACGTGCAGCTAATACAGGTGTCCAGGAAAAGTCTGTACAGGCCAGATGAGATGTCTAAGCACAGGTGCAAAGCTGTTCACGTCAGATGAGATGTCAAATGTAGGTACAGAAGGCTACAAGGGTCAGCTTGAAGTGGACTGAATGTCATGGGCAGAAGAAACTGAACTCAGGATTGAGGACCAAGGCAAGAGTCCTTTGCTGTGTCATTTTTTTTTTCCCTGAATGAGGTTCATAACAAGTGACTAGGTAACCAGCTTGTCTGAGATGCTTTGGTCTTTGGTTGTTCCTTTTATGGCCTAAGATAAGGGGAGGGAAGGTCCATCTGATATGACTGATAAGTGCCTGGTCCAGTGTTGATCATATTATCATATACATCTTCAGGTGTCCTCAGTGCTTGGCAAAAATATCCAGTCTATGCCTCCCTCTGTGCTGGTGTGGTTGGCCTTACATTTGTAAACAGACTGTAGAGTCACTTTTTCTTGGCTCTTTCTTATACTCAAAATGGAGTAACTTAGGATAAAGCCTGTGGATTTATAAAATGGAGCCACTCTGACCAGGCACAACCTGAGCTTATATTTCATACAGCACAGAGCAGCTCAGAGTAGGGCCAGCCTGATCTCTTTCAATCCCACTACACCAGACAATAATCGGACACCCCAAATTGATAGAAAAGTACACTTCCAGATTCTTCTGAAAATTACCCATGTGGGTGAACAGCACACACATTTTGGTATAATCTAAGTACCTTATAAGAGGATCACCCTCCTGGTTTTTCTAGTTTTCTTTGCTGTCTATCCAATAGCTCTTCCAAAAAGCCTACCACAACTATTATTCTGTCTTAGTCTCCACTTCCCCAAGCTCCGGCTTCATTATTTCCCCACTAGACAATCTCTCTAAACATCTAATCTGCATATTATTTCTTCAGATAAACTCAGTGCCTTCTAAAAGGCAAGTCCTTTTATGTTTTCCCTGTAGTTCTCAAAGACTGTCCACACTGATCATTCAGATCTCAGTGACTTCATCTAGTCTTCCAAACGCTACTGCTCTCATACACTCTGGGATGTTGTGTTTGGGCATACTATCCTGTCCTCTGCTGATGGACCATACCCCATTTGTCCTAGAAGGGACATATTTATGAGAAAGCAGAGGAAGCTGAAGCTTCTGGGTCTGTCTCTTGCAATGTCTCAGTGTCTTTCAACCAATTCCGTCTCTAAGTTTATTGCTATTTTTAACTCCGGACTGGTCGTCTAACTCAGACAAGACACACATTCTGCTGTTAAGCTTCACCTCTCACCCTACAACTTTTAACTGCCCTTCAACGGACAGTAGGAGAAATCCAAGATATCTACCTGTGCGAATGTCAAAGCCCGTAGCACATAAAAAAAAAAAAAGGAACAGAGACGCACTTTTGTGAAATGAAATCACTGGATGGAGAGAAACCCTGAGATTAATCCAAATATGAAATGCCTCTGTCATCCATCCATATACCCTTCAGTGTGTGATCAGAAACTGGAGCCTGAGCGTGGAGAGTAAGATCTGAAAGCCAGCTGAACAATGACCACACTCCACAGCTGCCCCGCCCCTCGGGGTTTCAACGGGGTTCCTATGGTGGAGAGATTGGAAGGAATGGGGGGCAGGGGGGACAAGAGATGCAGGAATGAAAGCCAAGTCTGTTCATCTGATCAAGGCTTCCATTTATTAGAAATTTTTACCCAACTTATATAAGGAGAGGGCAGGAAAGGGGGGAAGGTTAATTTACTGCTGCAGGAGATAGGAAGAGTGCTTCCATGGGTTAAATATTGCACCTGCAAGATACTGCAAGGATGTTTTCTTAAGCTATCCCACGGATGCTCTAAAACTAACAGAGAAATGTTCTCACAATCTATCACCCATGATTTCGGGTCCTAGGTAACTCTTCAACTAAATAGCTTTAGGTCTCCACTAAATGACCTTTGCTTATCACTTGGCTTTGGCTTCAGTAGATAGCTTTGG